TTATGTCATATTAAAATATGCTCTAAAGTCATAATAATGAAAATGGCATGGTACTATTGCTGGGAAGATAGAAATGATGTAGACTAGAAAGTCCAGGGACAGGTCTAAGTTTATGTAAGAATTTAGTATATGACATACAGGGTGACCAGCCATCTCAGTTCCTCTGGGACTGAGGGATTTCCTGGGACATGAGACTTTCAGTGTTAAAGTTGAGATGCTTGGTCACTGTAAGATGTGGGAAGCAGAATGTTCTGTTGAGTAAAGGGTATTGGGTTACCTGAGTAAAGCTGTGGTGCCTACACTTTGCTGTACGTTGGAATACCTGTGAAACCTTTTTGTATACTGATGCCTGGTTCCTATTTGAAACATTCCAAGTTCATTGGCAAGAGGTGTGACCTGGGCATCAGGATTTTTAATGGGCAACAAAGCTCGAAAATCACTGGGGTCATCATCGGGGGCAACATGAAGCTGCTCCATACCTTGTATGTGTGCGCTTTCTGATGGGTTTAATATTTCTTTGTAAAGAAAGGATTCTAGACAGTGACTAGATTTGCTTGCTCTGAAGAGAAGAGGTTTGACTCCTCCCATGAGAAGTCTGGAACTTTTGGAGCTGCGGGCAGGTGCAGCACACAGACTCAGGGAGTTTCAGAGGAGCACCTTATTCCTGTGCTAGGAGGGGTGGACATTCTCCTTGGAAGCAAGCTAATCTGGCTGAGGACAGCCCATCTCTTTCATACCTAAAAAATACAGGCACCTCTTCACATCTCAACAGTGAAGTCCCAGATGGCCACCCTGACTGCCTCCAGCTCACCGTAAAATCATCTCCCACTGTATCTTACACTGTCCAGCCATCCACCACTCACAGAGAAACTTGCCCTGGTGTCTCAGGGGCCCTTTGTTGCCAGCAAGAACAGAGACAGGTCATATGCCACATCTTGCTGAAAAGAGAATTAGTGTTTTGGAAGGTCAGATGGAGGAACTAATTTATGCCACACAGAAAAAATATGAAATGGGTGCTATGAATGTAAAGTTAAGTGATTTGGAGGGCAAATTCCAGAGATACTCCAGAAAGAGAAAAAGGCCTTTAGGGAGAGAAATAAAAAAAGAAATAGCAAGAATCTTCCTATACCTAAAGTAAGACGTGGGACTTGATACAGAAAGGGCTCACCAAATGAATCTCACAAAAAATGAGATCCTCCTAAAATAAAAAAAGACCCCCATCCAGACATAGTTTGCTGGAATTTCTGAACTCTAAGAGTGGAGAGGAAATTGTACCAGCTTCCAGACTGAAGGAATAGATTTCTGTATCAAAGTAAAAAGAATCCAGTAGTATTAAAGTGCACATCTTCAAGGCTGTAAGCTAGAAGATAGTGGAACAGTGTTAGCAAAAGCATGCAGTGCAAGAATCTTATACCCAGCAAAGGTGTCATTCTATGTGAGATCAGAGCCATTTTATAGACACGAAAGGGTTACTAAGGTTACATTTTCCTAACTAAGCAAAATGACCCTAAAAATTATTTTTACAAAATAAAAATGAAATCCCACTAAATAGTTCAAGAGAAAGAAATGCAGAAAGTATAGGAAGCAGTGGTAAGTGATGAACTGAGTAATTATAGTTCATATTATATGGTTGTGGTAGTGTTGTACATCTGGAATAAATTTTTCTTAAATCATCTGAAGGCTTGGAGAGCTAATGAGAAACACCAGTGGAAAATAAACTCCTGGTTCCATTATAATTCTTCTACACTGTCCTCAGTGTTTTCATTTTTGAAAACTTGGATAACATATTAATAGAACTGGGACTGTTCCATATTACTGTAACATGTGTATTTTCGTCTTTATGTCTTATATTGGCCTTGAGAATATTTTATGGAGTGTTGATACACATATTTCTACTTGCATATTACAGATTTTATCCCCCCAAATGACAGATAATTTGAAGTTAAGATAATAAGAGTACTGTGTATTTTAGTTTGCTCTCTAACAAGGATGTGCATACCTTCAATGTGCACAGCTTGGTGTGAGAGCCTGGTGAGATACAGGGATGCTGTAGACATGGCCCTTCTGTGAATGGGAGCAGTGTGCTCCTGTGCCAGTGATACACCGTCTGCCCTTTGCTGTCCTGACAGTCAAGACATGGCAGTCTGCTTGCATGTGAGTGGCTGCATTCAGCACATGCTTCTGAGGGACTGTTTTGAGGAATGTGGCTACCGGTGATTGTGTCCAAGAGCTGTGGTAGCTAAGTTCCTGACATCACTTCTCCAGGCTGTCTCTGTGGCTGGCTGTCCTCTGTGAAGTATAAGAAATCTAGCCGGCATGGTGGCTTACACCTGTAATCCCAGCCCTTTGACAGGCTGAGGCAGGCGGATCGCCTAAGGTCAGGAGTTGGAGACCAGGCTGACCAGCATGGTGAAACCCCATTTCTAATAAAAATACAAAAATCAACCGGGCACGGTGACTCACACCTGTAATCCCAGCACTCGGGGAGGCTGTGGTGGGTCGATCACTAGGCCAGAAGTTCAAGACCAGCCTGGCCAAGATAGTGAAACTTTGTCTTTACTAAAACTACAAAAATTAGCCGGGCGTGGTGGCAGGTGCCTGTAATCTCAGCTACTCAGGAAGCAGAGGCAGGAGAACTACTTGAACCCAGGCGGCAGATGTTGCAGTGAGCCAAGATCGTACCACTGTACTCCATCCTAGGCAACAGAGTGAGACTCCATCTCCAAAAAAAAAAAAAAAAAAAAAAAAGTTGGCCGGGCATGGTGGCAAGTGCCTGTAATCCCAGCTACTCAGGAAGCTGAGGCAGGAGAATTGCTTGAATCTGGGAGGCAGAGGTTACAGTGAGCCGAAATGGCACCATTGCACTCCAGCCTTGGCAATAGAGTGGGACTCCATCTCAAAAAAAAAAAAAAAAAAAAAAGAAAGAAAGAAATCTGGTGTCAAGTTGTGTGTGGTCTCTGAGGCAGCTCAGTGTTCTTCGTGTGTCCTCTGATTGTATCTGGGTTGCTGATGTCTTAGTGAGTGCTGGTCCCTTGTTCTCTTCTTGGGAACAGCTATTTGGAATTGCCCTGCTGGTGTCAGAGTTTGGGAATGGGGTGACAGACCCCACAGGGTCCTTTTCAGTGACAGTTTTTCTGGTGTGGGGCATCTTTGCTGTCTGTGGGCCACCCTAGTGGGGGTGCTGTGAATTGCTCCACATACAGACACGGCCGTGGGCAGCCTTGTGCAGGTGGCAGGGTAAACATGGCTTCTTTAGATGGCAAGTGTGCTTGGGGCGAATTCACACGTTGAAAGCTAGTGGCTCCATCAGTGACTGTGCTCACACTCTGAGGGTCTGGACTGGATGAAATAATTATTTCCTTCTTCAGTCTTTTGGGAATATTCATACTGCTGTAACTGTGACCATCTGGTACACTCAGTCTCATAACAAGGTGTGTTTTGGGCACCACTACAAACAAGGTGCTGTGTCGGGAGCTCTGGGGGATACAGAGTTTGGAAGGCCTTGACTTTGTGGCCTAAACTAAAGAGACGAGGGGAAGGAGAGGAGGTAAAGGAAGGCCGGATTGGAGCCTGCGCAGTGACCGCGGGGGGTCACCGGTAGTCCCCCTTCATCTTCACTCCCTGCTCCCATCTGAGCTCAGATCCCTTTGCTTCTGCCATCGAAGGTGCTCGCTGAGCCATTTCTCTGTCCTGGCCACTGTTCTAGTTGAAGCTCTCCTTTTTTTTCCCTTTTAAATATTGCAGTAAAATAGACACATTTTCTTTCTTTCTTTCTTTTTAAACGATTTTCAGCATTTTTAAGTGTGCAAGCTCTTACTGGAATACGGTTTTTTAAAATAATGGAACTGTCATTCAAGCAAAAAGGCATGTGTGATATAAGAGTACAGTGTAAAGAATATGACAAACATCTGGGGAAACACTTTAAGCAGAACGTTAAGCAAACATTTAGACATCCTCTGTGCCATTTTCCTGATGCTAGCCCCTTTCTTTCCCTAGGGGATACAATAGCCTTTCACTGGTCTCCCTGCCTCCGGCCTCTGTCCCCATGCCAGGTCCAGAGAGACAAAGCTAAAAGAAAAACTGTTGAAAATGATTCAGGGACAGCGCGTATGTCTTAGCCTGTTTTCTATTGCTGCAACAGAATACTGGAGACTGGGTGATGATGAGGAATGGAGATTTGTTTCTCACAGTTCTGGAGGCTGGGAAGTCCATGGTTCAAGGTGTCAGCATCTAGGTAAGGGCCTTCTTGCTGTGTCATCCCAAAGTAGAGCGTGAGAAGGCAAGGGAGACGAGAGAGCAAGAGTGAGAGAGTGAGTTCACTTGAAGTCACCTTTATAACAAACCCACTCTCACAATGAAGAACTTCCTCCTGAGATAAAGACACCAGTCTATTCACGAACCTCATGACCTACTCACCACTTAAAGGCCCCACCTCTTAGCACGGTTGCATGAGGGATTAAGTCTCCAACGCATGAACTTTGGGGGACATAGTGAAGCCGTAGCAGTGTGGTTTGAGGAATAAAGTGCTGAGTCCTGGGCAGTGGGTGGGTGCAGGCCCTCTCGCAGTTTGGCCTGCCAGGTCTCGGCAGCTCCTCTGTCACCCCACCATACCTGCAGGCTGCAGCCGCATCCTTTGTCCCCTTGAGAGCAAACAACCTGATCTTATGACCATTTGTCTTGGTCACCTGGGCTACCCAAACTCAGTGAGAAGTCAGGAGTGAGCCGGTGGGCTCTGGGGGAGAGACAGGTGTCCTGGCCAGTTGCCGGCGCCTCCCTCGTCTGCTTTTCGTGGAGCTTCGTGTGCCCTTGTTCTCCTTGGCACAGATGCACTTTGTTCCTGATGATGAGTCAGCCGGGGTGCGGATGGCGCACTGTTTGAACAGATGTGTGTTCGCATTGCTGCGGGAGAACGTGGTGGGAGGCGCCGTGGTGAGTGGCCCCGCGCGTGGCCGGGCTTGGTGGAGTTCTGACTCTGTCCTTCCCAATGTTCCTCCCCACAGTGGCTGCCTCTGGGAGATGATGGCTGCGTGAGTGCCCGCCATGGCCCACCGGAAGCGTGAGAGCACAGGGAGCAGCATGTTGGACCACAGGGCGAGGCCGGGCCCTGTCCCCCACAGCCAGGAGCCCGGGAGCAAGGACATGGAGCTGCCCTTGGAGGGCTATGTGCCCGAGGGCCTGGAGCTGGCTGCCCTGCGGCCAGAGAGCCCCGTGCCTGAGGAGCAGGAGTGCCACAACCACAGCCCCGATGGGGACTCCAGCTCTGACTACGTGAACAACACCTCCGAGGAGGAGGACTATGACGAGGGGCTCCCGGAGGAGGAGGAGGGCATCACCTACTACATCCGCTACTGCCCCGAGGACGACAGCTACCTGGAGGGCATGGACTGCAACGGGGAGGAGTACCTGGCCCACGGCACGCACCCCGTGGACACCGACGAGTGCCAGGAGGCGGTGGAGGAGTGGACTGACTCGGCAGGCCCGCACCCCCACGGCCATGGTGCCGAAGGCAGCCAGGACTACCCAGACGGCCACCTGCCCAACCCGGAGGACGAGCCCTCCGTCCTGGAGGCCGACGACCAGGAAGAAGATGGCCCCCACTGTCCCAGCAAAGAGGGCTACCAGGACTACTACCCCGCAGAGGCCAACGGGAACACTGGTGCCTCCCCCTATCGCCTGAGGCATGGGGACGGGGACCTGGAGGACCAGGAGGAGGACATCGACCAGATCGTGGCCGAGATCAAGATGAGCCTGAGCATGACGAGCATCACCAGCGCCAGTGAGGCCAGCCCTGAGCATGGGCCTGAGCCCGAGCCTGGGGACTCTGCGGAGGCCTGCCTTCCCGGCAAGGCCAGCTGCAGCCCCAGCAGGCATGAGGCGAGGCCTAAGTCACTGAACCTCCCTCCTGAGGCCAAGCACCCTATAGACCCCCAGAGAGGCTTCAAGCCCAAGACCAGGACCCCAGAGGAGAGGCCGAAGTGGCCCCACGAGCAGGTAGGACTCTGGCTGTCCCGGGGAAGGGAGCAGAGGGGCCTGAGAGCAAGAAACCTCCTGGTACAGCCCTCGCAGATGCTGAAGCGAGGGGGTGGGAGGGGTGGGTGCCTTGCAGTTCTAATGGTGGCCGAGCCCTTCACTGGTCCAGTTACGAAGCATGTTGGGTGAATGCTCTGGCCACTCTTATGCTTACCCCTCAGACTGAGGAGTAAAATCTTTTTGAGGGCTGATGGGCCACTGGTGTTTCACAGAAGACGCCCCTACTGCCACCCTAGAAGAGAGTCCATTTCTCTCCCGCTGCCCTGGGTCTGCTCATGGTGGGGCAGTGTCTGTGGGAGAGCCCGTCAATCCTCAGGGGTGTACTCAGACCAGCAGGGCAGTGGCAAAGACGTGGGGGCGCTGCTGCTCACACACTTCCGTGGCCAGTGGTGGGTGGCCTGGTGGCTGGGGTGGGGGCCGCTGTGCATTTCACAATGGAAGTGTCTCTGAAAGCCTGCGGACCTTGGTCTGATGGGCAATTCGCCGTGAATGACTATTTGGAAAAGGGTTTTTTGAAAGTTTGACAAAACCTTGGGGAAGAAACACATGCTAATGAGGGCCGTGGATGTCAGCATAGCTGTGTTTTCTTTTAATTATAGCAGAGTCAGCATGCATTCTAGTAAACACATTTGAAAAGCTGCCTTCCAAAAAAAAAAACAAAAAAAAGCCTCACTGTGAGTATATAAAGATGTGATTGAGTATTGGACTTGTGTAAAGGAACTTCTGTTTGTCCAGTTATATGGACTGCTTTCATATTTTGTAAAGCCCTAACCATTTTTTTCTGAGAAGAGTTTATGAATTTGAATGTGTGTGTGTGTGTACTGAGAGCTTGGGTTTGGAATAGAAATCATATTGCCACTTGGATTTTCAGCACTTGTATTTAGATGTCTTACGTTTTCTCTAAAGCACGTTCAGTGTCAGTTGACTTCTCTTTGGGGGTGTTCCTGTGATTCACAGCAATTTACGGGGCTGTGAGATGCACAGGAACTCCCATGATATTAGCGGATGTTGGCGGAGCTCTCCCCTAAGGCCAGGAGACCCTGGACCCTGGGTCTGGGCTTTAGGCCAGAGTGCCTCTCTGTGTTTCTCTTTGGTCTTTGGCAGGCCCTGGGCTTGCCCCGCAACAATGGCAAAGACACCGCAGGGATTGACATGGGCTGTGCACAGTGTGTGACACGCCGTGTCTTGTGACAAATGGGATCCCTGGCCAAGTTCTTGTCAAGGAAAATGATCTTTAGAGCCTGTTGGGGAGTAAGCAAGACCCACTGTTTTGCTGGTTTTGTTCTTCATGCTAACCAGATGTTAATTTTGGTAAAAACCCAGAGACCTTGGGGCTGGAGGGCTGGGAGGTGAATGAATGAATGGGTGGGTGGTAGTTGCTGTTTAAAAGGGCCCATGGAGGGCTGGGTGCGGTGGCTCACGCCTGTAATCCCAGCACTTTCGGAGGCTGAGGTGGGCGGATCACGGGCTCAAGAGATCGAGACGATCCTGGCCAACATGGTGAAACCCCGTCTCTACTAAAAATACAAATATTAGCCGGGCGTGGTGGCACGCGCCTGTGGTCCCATCTACTCGGGAGGTGGAGGTGGAGGCGCAAGAATTGCTTGAACCCAGGAGGTGGAGGTTGCAGTGAGCCAAGATTGCGCCACTGCACTCCAGCCAGGCGACAGGGCAAGACTCCGTCTGAAAAACAAAAACAAAAACAAAAAAAAAAACAACAACAAAAAAACACATCTTGGAAGACGTCCCCAGCCATTGTGGAGAGTTAAGAGGAGGTCTGTTCTTCACAGAAAAGGCAGTGAATGGAAAAGGAGGCCGCTTCTCTCCCTAAGGAGAGCGTGTCCTTGAAGGAAATGCCCTTGTCCGAGACACTGGAAAAGCCCATTTAAGCTGGTTAATGATCGTATGGCTTTGTTTTGGTTTGTTTTGCCCTCCCTTCCCTGTACTGTGCAATGCTGTCTTGTCCTTTTTCTTTCTTTATCAGTTCACAAATTAATTCTGTCGAGAGGAGCACTTGGCAGTTCCAGAGTTCCACACTGACAAGGGCCCTGGTGCCAGGGGCCCTGACTACTCTTTCTGAGGACTACACCAGACCCACTGCACATTGGCAGCGTCTCCACGCCTGTAGATCTGAGTACCCCATTCCAGATGAGGATCTCGCTGAAACCTGACCAGAAAGAGCTGTAGAAATAATGTTGAAAGCAAGATTCCATATGAAGCATGTGCACTGGGAGGCTTGGTGGTGTCTTGCTTGAAATCACAACCTGCTTTCCTAAGAGCAATCCCCTTACTCCCGTGAGAGACAGCCAGGCTGTGCCAGGAGCCAAAAAAGGCCTGGCCTCAAACAGGTGCATAAGGCGCCGTGTGTCCCACGCCCGCCTCTTTGTTCCCAGTGCGGTCCACTTAGTTAGTGTAGTAATGCCTCTGGTTGAGGCTGCGGTTAAAAAAAAAAAAAAAAAAATCTGAAGGGAGAAATGGGCAATATTAGTCACTTAGATGCTGTAGGAGTCTTGCTTTTTAACCCTAACCCAGCAGCACTGGCATTACTGGGGAGCCCCACCCCCACATTGCTGAATCCCAATCTTCATTTCAACACGCTGCCACATTCCAGCTGGAGAAGTGATGCTGTAGGAGACTCACTTGGATGAGATTGTGTGGCATCCCTCACCTCTTCTACTCATTTCACAGCTTGAAAAATTGTGTCCTGGATGTGTTTAAGAGCACTGAGTAGCATTTAGTCATTGCACAAATGGCAACAGTACAATAGAGTCAGAAAAAATGGAAATATAAAAAATGTATTCTCATGGTCCCTGCTACCCTAACAGATGAGCTGTTTCATTTCTGTGTCCTTTTCAGACCGTAGCATTGAGCATAAACGATGCACGTGTCTGTCATCATAACCCAAATGTATCTTTGTCGTCTAGCTTTTCAAATCTGACATGTGATAAATGTTTCTCCATGTTGCTATATAGTTTCGACGATTTTTTTTACTGACCTTTTTGTGTTCCATTTGGCTGATGTGCCATATAACTGATTTCTCTGCACATACTCTGCCATTGAGCATGCAGCTTCCGGGTGGCATTTTCTCTGAGGTGTAAGGCTGCCACAGATGTCTTTGTACAAATCATGTTTTCCTTCTTTGGGTTTATTACCTGAGGATAAATCCCCATGCTTTACATCAGCACTGACCATTTCCCCTCGATGATCTTATCTAATTGTTTCCCTTCTTCTGTGGATGTTGGATACGCACCCTTCATCTTTTGGTTCGGACGTGTTTCCATCTCATGGGAGCACGCTCTACACTGCAGGTGTGACTTTCTGCTGTGTATGTTGTCCTCTTTAGTGCACTTTCTTTTGAATTTTGTTTGTTATTTTCATCATCTCTGCAGCATTTTAAGACATTAATGACTCATCTGTGACCCCTCCACCTCCTTTGGGTGCAGAAGGATTTAATTGGATGGTTTCTTCTTCCTAGTCTGGGTGGATGTATTCACAAAGGACATTGCTTTGGTCTGGTTCATAGGAAAAACGAGTTGCCGGCCGGGCGCAGTGGCTCACACCTGTAATCCCAGCATTTTGGCAGCTGGAGGTAGGCAGATCACCTGAGGTCAGGAGTTTGAGAGCAGCCTGGCCAAAGTGGGGCAACCCCGTCTCTACTAAAAATACAAAAATTAGCTGGGCGTAGTGATATGCGCCTGTAATCCCAGCTACTCTGGAGGCTGAGGCAGGACAATCACTTGAGCCTGAGAGGTGGAAGCTGCTGTGAGCCGAGATCATGCCACTGTGCTCCAGCCTTGGTGACAGAGCGAGACTCCGGCGTGCCCTACGCCCCACCAAAAAAAAAAAAAAAAAAAAAAAAAAGAGTTCGCATGTGCTGGGAAGTGGACGGTGTGGCCTTTGGAGCCCTCCCGAGCTGGAGGATGCCGTGCATTTTGGAAAAGCTCCAGTTTGCAGGTAGCGCTCCCACCTGTGCAACTCGGCTGAGACCAAGAGGTCTGCACGGGGTTTGGAACAGGAGAGACACAAGGCGATGCAATTTCTAAAATTGTAGGAAGACAGGATGGGGAACAGAGATCTACACATGAATTATTTTAGTAAAATAAAAAAAAGGTTCTCTTGAAGCACTGCAGGTTTACTGAGGAAAACTTGGAAAATATAAGCAAAACTGTCTTTTGCCATATGGCATTGTAGAATCCCATTGTAGAGAGTTTTTGAGTCAAAGAGACAAACCTAGGGCAGGATTTCCCAAAACATCCTCTTAGAGGTGTTCTGTAAACAAAGTACCATTCGATCCCTACTATTCATGGATTTGGTATTTGCAACTTTGTTAACTTGCTTATATTGATTCCTAACTTCTTCCGGGAGGTAGGTGGAGAAAGGAAGAACTGGGGTCGCCCACTCTCACGTTCCCAGCTGAGCTTGAGCAGGGCTTTGTCCCCTTGTTTCAGCTCTCCTGCTGTAAACAGCCGTTCCTTTCACAATCCGTTTAGTGTTCTTTGCATTTTGTTGATTTGTGTGTCTGTGTGTGTGTGTGTGTGTGTGTGTGTGTGTGTGTGTTACAATGGCCCTCAAGTGTAGTGCTGAAGTCTAGTGATCCTGAGCATGGAACGGCTGCCATGTGCCTTACGTGTGCCGGAGAAGCTTCCTTCAGGCCTGAGCAACAGAGCTGACTCGTCTGTGCTGCCGCTCTGCGAGCTGCTAAAGTGACTTGTGTCGTGTGTGATGAAGTCAAGGAAAAGATGAAGGAATGGCTAAATTTGCAGGTTCATGGGACAGTGACCGATTTTTTTTTTTTTTTTTTTTTTTCTTCTTGAGACGGAGTTTCACTCTTGTTACCCAGGCTGGAGTGCAATGGCGCGATCTCGGCTCACCGCCACCTCCGCCTCCTGGGTTCAGGCAATTCTCCTGCCTCAGCCTCCTGAGTAGCTGGGATTACAGGCACGTGCCACCATGCCCAGCTA